AAAACAAAACAAAACAAAACAAAACAAAACAAAACAAAACAAAACAAAACAAAACAAACTGCCATACTTACTGCTCTGCCAGAGGAGCTGAGTTCAGTTCTCAGGGCCCATATTGGGTAGGTAGCTTACAAACTACTCCTAACGCCAATCCCAGAGAATCCAACACCTCTTCTGGCTTCTCCAGTAACCTACACTCATGTGGTACACATAAACCCATGCAGGCACACACAAATGCAGATAAGTATAGGAACTGTATATATGAGTCACTGCTTAGGTAAACCTCAGTTATTCTGGTCAAAGACAGAAGTCATTTGGGAGGGCAGGTTATTTCTTCTATGTAGAGTCCATTAAATGCTTATTTTCTTAATTATGTTATTGCATAAATATATTGACTTATTAATTTAAAGGAATGATGTTACCTTTGCCTTTGGTTTGACCAGATTCATATTGCCTCTCCCAAAGTCTCTAGGCATTCAAGTTTCTTCTTTGGTGAAAGTAAGCCTGTTTACACGTTTTAAAAAGAAGAATTGAACCTACCATTATTCTTATCTTAGCAATCTACTGCATTTACCTAATGATGGATAGATGCCACTGCCTGAGGGTGATTCTAAGAAAAATACCAAAGTCTCTGAAGGAACTTCAGAAGGAAGCAGAGCTCAGCCTATTCCCCATGGCTTGATGTTTGAGCTACACCTGTCATTGCATAGCTGCTCTCCAGGACTGGCACCCATGTGTAGAGTCAGGGGGCTGTTAAACAAGTGAATTTTATTTCATTTAAACTTTGTTGTGATTCATGTATAAGATAACAGCAAGCCAAGTAGGTGAATACCCAAGATTTGAAACTCAGAATTTGCTAAAATGTACTGACACCTCACTTGGATCCCCAAGTAACTAAAAAACAGGATAAAAACCTAATACCATCTCTTTTCATTTTGTATCTCTCTCTTTTAGTTTGGGTCAGTCACCAGCCTAACCTTGCACAGAGATGTTGTCAAAGAGCATTTGTCTAAAACCTGGTCAGTACTAACCTGTTTCATCCCTGTTTATTGTTGAAGGCAGGTGGGTGAGAGTACCTGAGACATTTGCCAGCATTTGCAATGTCTTGCTCCAGATCTCCTAGATGACCCCACAGAGTTTCTAGTCATTGCCTCAAAACTGTAGTCACCCTGGATCCCAGAAATAGCTGAGTCTAACAGGTCAGGTTAAAATGAGATCACTCCCTCAAGCAGGAGGCATCATCACATAGTAACTGATTTACCCTCTTAAGCAATAAAAATTGTTCAAATATACCACTTTGCCAAGGCAGAATTGAAGTCATAATCCACATCACCACACTTTGACCAAATCTGTTTACTTATGCTTAACTCTTTTCCTGTGTACAATTCTTCTGCTTACACCCATTGCTTCTGAGTCTTCTTAAGATGGAGTTGGGATGATTGAGTCTCCATGTCTGACTTTCCTATGAGAGCTCATTTCTTGAATCTCCTTTAAAGACAGATCTATACATACACTTGGATTTTGCCTATGTGGGTAATATTATGATTCTTTGTGATTGGCACACTGGGACTGGTAGTTAAAGTCCCCAGATGGGACTTCCAGGTAGGTCTTTTGCCCTAAAACTGTGAAAACAATTCTATCTCCATTTAAGCAGGAGGTAGCCATCACATAGGCTGAGAAGTGTGGTTGAGTCTACAGAGACCTTCACTTCATATACCTTGAGGGGGATCTTACAGCTAATTAAGTCCTTGTCACTGTTCCATAAGGTCCAGACTGTGGGGAAGACCTGTGTCTCCAAGCTAATGAATGTCTAGAGTACAGAATGTATCACAGCCTCATCTCATCTCACACTACTTACTAGAATATCTAGCTTCTGCATGTGATGGCATAAAGTTATTTTCTCAGAAGGACTAAAGGTGAGGTCTATTTAACAAAGTAGTTGTCAGTAGTTGCAAAAGTGTGAAGTGTCCACCAGCAACAACTCCTCAGACACTGGTTTAATTCGAGAGACAGTATTTAATAGGAAGACAGGGACTATCTTAGAAGTTCAGGACTCCAGTGCAGTTCTAAGCCTTTCTTGGGGTGAGCTTTTAGAAATCTCATCCTGGATTGACATACCTCAGTAAACAAGACCAGTTAGCCAGAAGTGAAACTACAGAAGCCAACAAACAAGGTTAGTACATTTAGAAACTTTCCCAGAACTATGGACTTTGATGTATTAGACTTTTGTTTTTCCTTTGGCAGGTTGTGCTGGTTTCCATGGCTTGAGTGGTACTTTTGTACTAAGGTCTGGGGTTCTGTTACAGAAAAATCGATATAGAATTTGTACCGTAGATATTATTATGAAAGCATTTAGGTATTGTGCTTAATGGTCATTAGTGAGATCTTATATCTAACGTGGTCCTTGAAATGGGAGTTTCCATGAAGAGGGGAAGTCTGGGGTTAGGACAATGAGTAACCTGTGATGAGGATCCTGAGGATTTACGATAAGTCATCAATTGCTAGATCAGGAAGATAAAGGCTCTGAGATACAGATGCTCTATTAAAGAACCAAAGGGAAATGAAAAGCTTAGGAAGGGATGATTTGCTTAGTTTATATACTTAAAATATAATTTTTTATCATTTAGAAATTTCATATATTATACAGTGGATCTTGGTTATACCCCACTTCCCTCTCCAACGTTACCTGGGCCTCCCCTGTACACCTCTCTTTTAACTTTGTGTTCTCCTTTTAAAATGTAATCCAATAAGTCCAACTGGTGATACATATATAAGCATGGATGTTGGACAACATATTAACATATTTATAGTCCCAAAGGAAGGGGACTCTCCCTCTCCAAGCAGCTATCAACTGCTAGTAGCTTCTTAGCTAAGGGTGTGGCTACAAGACTCCTCCCCCAGCTACACTGTAATTTTTTCTTTTTCAAATTGATTAATTGATTCACTTTACATCCCAATATTAGTACCCCTCTTCTCCCAGAACCCCTCACACAGATCCTCCCCTCCCCCATCTTCTCTCTTCTGAGAAGAAGACCCCTCCCCCAGGTTTTTCTCACCCTTTCCTGCTCACTCATCAAGTTACTGCAGGACTCTCACTGACACCTGACCAGGAGGCCTAGTTATGGGAATGGGATCTATAGGCAGGTAACAAATTCAGGGACAGCCCTGGCTTCAGTTCTTGGGAGAACCACATGAAGACCAAGTTGCATTTCTATAAATGTGCTGGCAGCCTAAGCCTAGCCCACATTCACTCTTTGGTTGATGATTCACTCTCTGGGAGCCCCTAAAAGTCCAGGTGAGTTGACTCTGTCGTTCTTCCAGTGGGGTCCCTGTTCTCAATCCTCCCTCAATCCTTCCCCCAACTCTTATATAAGACTCCCAAACTCCATCTAGTGCTTAGCTGTGGATCTCTGTATCTGTTTTCATTGCTGCTGAATGGAGTCTCTGAGAGGTCATTTATGCTAGGATCCTCTCTGCAAGCATAACAGAGTATCATGAATAGTGACAGGGATTGGTTCTTATCTATGGGATGGGGCACAATTTAGGCCAATCATTGGTTGGTCATTTGCTCCAACTTGGTTCTGTCTTTGTTCCTGCACGTTTGGTAGGCAGGACACATTTTGGGTTGAAGTTTTGTGGGTGGGTTGCTGTCGTTATCCCTCCACTGGGAGCCTTGCCTTGCTATAAGGAGGTGACCACTTCAGGATCTGTATCCTTCACTGCTAAGAGTCTCGGAGTCAGTGATACCATAGACACTCTGGAGCTCCCCATTCCTCTCTCACAGGTTTCTGGCAGATCAAAAGGTGCCTATCTCTTCCCATCACCATTTTGCTCTCTCCCCTGCTCTCCCTATACCTAATTCTACCCATCCCCTACTTCAATCTCCTCCCTCTCCCCTTTAACCTCCAGTTCTCCCCTCTATGAACCTCTGATATCTATTTTATTTCCCCCTCTGAGAAAGATTAAATCATCCTTCCTTAGACTTTCCTTCTTTTTTTTTTGGGTGGGTGGGGGGTGTCTATGGATTGTAGATTCATGGTGGTAGCCAAAGCTTCTGTGCATTAAGGTAGGTGGTAAGTGACATGTCATATCCAGAAAATAACAGCCTGTACCTCTCCTCCTCTTCTTCTGGCTCTTTCATTCTTCACCTCAAGGAATTATTGCGTTAAAGTAAAAATACCATTTGTTTTTGATGGGGCACTGATTGGGTTTGGATATTTATGTGCAGGAGAGGAAGAACGTGGAGTCAAGGGGATGATGAAGAGGATGAGAGAGTCCAATCAGAGGACGGTTGCTTAAATTCAGGAAGAAATTCCTTGTAGCTTAAACCAATGAGAAATGTCTAAGGTGAAGAGAGATGAATAAATTAGATATAAATATCCAGAAAGAAAAACTCTGTTTGATGATTTTGTGGTGATCAGGTAGGGATATGTAAAAAGAAAGACTGTTCCCAACACATCGCTATTTAATTGTAAACTGAAAGTTAAACCTGTGAAAGATGGAGGAATGGCTGGTAAAGATTTCTTTTTGTTTTTTTAATTATAAAAGAGCTACATAGCACAACTTTATAAGAGGTTGTGTCTCTCTCCATGTAGTGTATGGTGATGGAATTCCAATCACCATAGAATTTGAATGAAAAGCTTTCACATTGTATTTCCTTGGCTCAGTGATGTGTGTGTGTGTGTGTGTGTGTGTGTGTGCGCGCGTAGGGGGATGGCAGGGAGCATATGTGAACATGAGTTCCGATACTTTCAGAGGCCCGAAGTAGGCATCTAACACTCTGAAAAGCTAGAGTTAGAGGCAGTTGTTAGAACTGAGACAGGACTACTGGGAAAGGAACTGTGGTCTTCTGAAAGGGCAGAGTGTATTGTCAGCCAATACTCCACCTCACACTTTCCCTTTCTTACAGCCTAGTAATGAGTTTATTACTGCTACAGAACTTTACATGTAATGACAAAGCACACTGAAGTGTTATTAACATATTTTTCTTCAATCCTCTTAGAAGTGTTGGATATTTATTTAACTGATAAATGCTGAGATCCAATTTACATATATCAGTATTAGTGGTGTATATGAATTAAATGCTCCACTTAAAAGCCATGCTTCATTTTCTGGTACATAACTTAGACAGTGCTATCTGAAATTTAGAAATAAAATATTGTGTATTCATGCAGTTTCACAAAATTATCACAAACATGCTTGATGGCATAGATCTTATTTATTAAGAATTTAATTGTTGCTAGTTTTATGTTTTGGAAATATCTGCAGCTATCTAGAAACTCTGATATTGTAGTCACTAAACTTTAGTATTTCTATCCTGTTTGAATAAATGCCAAGAACTGACTCTTAGGGCTCTGATTTTTTGAGATAATTAAGCTTCAATATAAACTTCTGTAAGATTAATCATGGGAAACCAAGGAAAAAATAAAATAAAAGTTTCAAAGACTTGTAAACATAGACATTTAATTTTATTGAAATTTAAATGAGTTTCGTATTCAGTGGATATAAGGTCTGTTAATTAAGGTACAAGTGCCTTGTAAATCCAGAATGGGAGTGCCTTTGCTATATACATTTGCTATATACAGTCCTTGGTAGAACATGAAGAGTAAATCTAAGCCAATTAAGATTTCATATATATATGACATATATATTATATTAAATGAAATAAGATGACTCTCAATTGTACATTTTTACACACGTTAAAATTATATTTTGTGAATTCTTGGTAACTGTTTGCTAATCATCCCATTACTGTAAAGTTAATACCATCCCCCATTATAGAAAAGCCCTGTGTAAAACTGGGCTTTATTCACCATCAAGAGCAATGTGTTTAAGAGGTACATTGTTTACTGTCTTATGCACGAAGAACTCTGGGGACATTAAAACTCTGAAAATGTAATCTTTATATTAGAAAGTTAAAAAAAGAAGCATGTGTGGAGGAGATGGACGGAGATGAGTTGTAGTGGGGGCTGGAGAGCTGGCTCAGCAGCCATGATCATTTGTTGCTTTCGCAGAGGATCTGGGTTTGGTTCCCAGCACCCGCATGGAAACTTACAACTATCTCAACTCTAGTTTCAGAGACTCTGCGACTCTCTTCTGGCTTTCACAAGCAGTCTACATACATGGTACACATACATTTATTCAGGTAAAATTTTATATGCAT